TTTTTTTTATTTTTCATTTTTGCGTATTAGATTTAAAAATCCCCGTATTTCACGAGTTTAACAAACTTTAAATTTCGCATAACCCAAGTTTGCTAAAATAATTGAGGCTCGTTTATAAAGCATTTAAATCATTATGCTAATTAATCTTTTTCTGTTCAATTTCTAATTCATAATCTTCCTTTCGATTCTTGTGGTCGCAGCAAACAAGATGGTTTACTTTAGAAGCACTTCTATTCGGGAAAAGGGATATCTAGTAGTCCTCGACACCAAACACCAATCACTAAAGAAAGGGACCCATTTTGCAGTTGAAGAACCAATCATTGGTGATTTTTCCAAAACGTGGCCAAAAGTTACAAACTCCATGAGCGAGTGGACTCAAGAGTGTGCCTACGGGAAGTCCAAAGCATGGATCTTGCAAGCGACTCACTACAACCAGCAGAACGAGACAGAGCCGTCGCCATTGCCAACTTTAGGACGACGCATCACACGAGGTGAAGCTGTATGGGGAGAAGCCATCAACTTTGCCGACGAATTCCATTACACGTGAGGATACTGGGAGTGGACTGAAGACATACTTAGCCGATGCAGAAGCAACCTGATCAAGGCAGAGATTTATGATGCTGTTTACGCCTCGCTTTTCACCTACGACTGCAATCCCGAGATCATCAAGGCATTCTGCGAGGCATGGTGTCCTTCTACCAACACACTTTTAACGTCTTCCGGGGAGCTTTCAATTTTGCTATGGGACCCACATACATTAGCAGGACTTCCATCGAGTGGGGTTATTATCGACGAGGTGGTGCCGGATGCAGACGAGTTGGTCGAGATCAACAAAGACAAGAATTTATGCCTCCCTCGCTGCTGCAGATACCTTTTCCACGCCTATCATTTATTGTGCAAAGAAACTGGCGACAGACAAGTGTCAATCGATTGATGGGTGCAATTTTAGTCGAAGAAGCCCATCAAATACAGACAACCCCCCAATCGTGCTGACAAGAGGAACGGAGAGAAGAAGAGGATAATTCACCTCAAGTCAACTTATAATCCACCCGGCACCTTCGAAGAACATCGACGCTGGACCTCCGCCGAAGATCTATTGTTCAAGAAGATGGTTGTGACCGAGCCAAAGCTGCAAGAAGAAATTCATTTGGCGGCCTACCTTTCCTGTTGGATGTGCACATTCGTCCTTCCTAACGGCGATGTCGACATAATTCGTCCGGGCACCTTCAAGATGGCAAGCATGATGGTCAAGGGTCAGACGGTCGGTCTCGCAATTCCGGTGTTGACGAGCATCTACAAGGGGCTGAACGAGTTTACAAGCTGCATAAGTCCATCTCGATCGATTTTTCCCATCCACTTTGTTTACGGCTGGCTGACACTCTATTTTAAAACTCACTTCGCAATTGGTCAAACACGCAAGCCCATGATGGTGACATATTCCGGTGAGAACGGCGCAAGACACTTTGAGCCTGAGGAAGCCCGCAGACGTATCCACAAAGGGGACTCCGCTTTATGGACTTGCAATATCATCATCAATGACCAGACTTCCCGATACGTCGATGATCAACGAAGACCTGGATACGAATGGAGATACTTCATGGCGATTCGGTCTAACTACCTAACGTGGCGTCAAGGCAATCTTTTTCTTATAGAGCATATAGTCCTCATCGATTCAGTCGTCAATTTGGGTATTATCAAGATGTTCCCAGCATTTTAAAGAAAGACTTCCGTGAGGGCTCTCTTGACGACGGAATTCACTATTGGAAACTGAGCGTTCTATGCGGATCCTCATCCAAAGCTTCGTTGCCTTGTGCCTCAACAAATGCGAAGAAATCAACTCCAGCTTATAAGTCATGGTGGCATCAAGTTCATGGAGGCTATCTTGAGCGTCATATAGAGGATTTACTTGCGTCAAAGCCCAAAGTGATATCTTCGAAAGACAAGGAGCTAGTTGTTGACCAGGGTGATCCTACAAGTGAAGATGATGATGCGCTTCTCGCCAGAATTCCTGGGACCAATAAGAGAAAGAGTGGGTCCACCTCTTTAGTAGAAAGTAGCAATCCCGATCGACATTGGAAGAGAGCAAAGCGAACGACTGATTCTTCGCAGCACGTGGAGAAAACAGTCGAAAATCAACATGAGACAGAGGATCTCATTGCTAAGGTTTTCCCAAGTCTATCTCTTCTTCTTTACTTCTACCTCGAGTTCTCTTTCTAATTGATGTTTTTCAGGCTCAACGGGACGTCTTTGGTTCTGACGATGACGAAGAGTCTCAAGACGATGAAGCGACTTCTGTAGCAAATGTTCCAACGTGTGCGAAGAAACCTACTGCTCAACAAAATCTTCAGGGCATGTGGTACGATGAAGCCGCTTCAAAGTTTAAAGGGGAGAAGTTCATTCTTGACCGTCAAAAGAAGTATCTTCAGGGCATGTGGCACGACCTCCGTGACAAGGTCATGGCGACTCCTATCGATTTCTTGTCTTCCATAAAAGAAGAGGTGTCACTCGTTTTTGATGCTCTGAGGCAATGCGACAAGTTTGACCTTTCCACTATTGAGAGCTCATTTAAGGTTTTGTTTGACAACGCCGACTCTATGACGGAGTACGGTCTAAATCTTCGGAGAAGGCGACGAAGGAACATATTGCTCGACAGTTGGCCGAGGCTAAAGATCGTCTTTGTGAAGATAAGGCGAAAGAGGATATTGAATCAAACCAAGTGAAGTCCACTCAGGATGAGCTAAAGCGAGTCACGGAAGAGCTTGAGCAGTTGAAGACAAAGGCAGAAACACTATCCAAGACATTGAAGCAGCAGCAGGAGTCACTCGACAGTGCCAAGGCCCAGGTGAAATTAACTAAAGAGAATATCCTCGCCATCAGCAGTGCTCCATCGTTGGACGAAGAAGTGGTTGAACAGTTGAAGATGTTGAAGTCAAATTTGAAGGCGACTAAAGAGAAACTAGGAAGCTTGAATCTTTTTGTTTAGTGATGTTTGCGACTCTTTTGCTTATTTCTTCATGTAATAAGACTCAAGGTTATGGAATGGAATGATTCGTTTCTTTTTACATCGTGCAATCTCAATCTCGAACATTAGCATTTGTTGCACTTCATTTTCTCGCCAAATCAATCAAAATTGACTAACGTAGAAGACGAACATAATTTATGACTGAACTTAGAAAATATTTAAGTTGCCTACGTACCTTTTAAATGGATCAAGTCATAACGTAGTTCAAAGTAACATGGATTTGTTTAGGGGGGGTGCCGTGCACAGTTTATACTCATGCGGGCCAAATTTGTAACAACAATTTTACTTCGAAGCCCCACCGGGAGTACCAAATTTGTAAGAATAAATTTTATGAAATACATGGATCTTCAAGAACACATTTGGATCTTTAAGAGAATTATTAAGAGCTCTTTGAATTGAGACTTTGATTTATGAGGTGTTGGATTTGTTTGAGGTATTTCAGGTGTGTTGGATTTTTGAGGTGTCTTAGGTGTTTGAGGTGTGTTTTGTGACTTTGAGGAGAGCCCTATTTATAGGTGTAGGAGAGAGTCTTAGAGAAGAAGACCTCAATTTGATTGGTCCTTCTTGATTTGATATAATCTCTTTCCTTATCCTAAGATTTGACATAATCTCCTTCCTTATCCTATGATTTGACTTGGTGGGCAAGAAATATTTACTTTATTAATTAAATATCTTATTTATCTTGGATTTATGTCCCAAAATAAATAAAGACATTAATTAATAAAATATTAAAATTTCGATGTCTACACAGAGAATCGAGTCGCCGATCAAATTTCATTATCGTGGGAGGAGGCCCGACGATCGAGATTGGTGAGGTCGGCCCACTTTGGAGACCTACTATTGCGAAGTCGGGCCTCGGCGGCTAATTGGGGGTCCGACAATATTGGCTGTGGGTTCTGGTTGGCGTCGCGGCGTCGGTGCGGGTTGAGGTCGGATATGTCAGGTTGTTATAGATTCGGTCCACGAATGGTCGTCGGTTCGGCCCGCGAACGGTTGTGGGTTTGGTCCGCGAACGGTTGTCATTTCGGCATGCGGAAGGTTGTGGATTCGGCCCGCAGACGGTTGTAGGTTTGGCCCGCTGATGACGGTGTTCGGGCAGCGATTTTAAAGCTCGATCTGAGATTCGGAGAGGACGTGGTCTGTTCGGCCCACGGACAGTGGTCTGTTCCGGCAGCGATTTGAGAGCTCAATCAGAGATTTGGAGCCCGTCTGCAGTGAGGTTGATTTCGTCGGTTGATTTCGCCAGCCGTGGTCTTCAATCAGCGAGATCTGACTTCCTCTCCGAGAAAATAGAACTCCTCATTTTTCAGTTTAGTATTTATTTGCTCCCAGCATTCAAAAGATTAGAAGTCAAAATCGCGAATGCACTAATCTTGTTACAACAGGGACTTTGCTGAGCTCGTTATTTTTTCCTCTGGCGCACATATTGATGGTGGTATCTAGCAGTAGATAAATTTACAGACTACGTTTTCCCCTTCTTTTTTTTTTGTTTCTTTTTTTTTTTTTTATAAGCCCATCTTTTAGAATGAGATCTGTAATGTATATCTATATGTTCCACAAGAATACTCATGAAAAACAGGATAACGGATGTGGGAAAAAATTAGACTGAGAGTAAGAATAATTCCACCAGCTTTGGAGAGGCTTCTTATCGGTGGAGATGCGGTCATTTTCTGGCGAGTTACACCAAACAAATGATGGTGCCCTGTCTCTAGCGCCAATTGTTGATGCTCAAAAATGTCAGCAACAAGGGTGAACTGTACACTACTTCCGGTACTCGGTTCACAAGAATAACATATGATTTTTGTTATACAAAATCAAGAACAAAAAATGAAAGAAGATGAAGTTTATTTTTCATTGATGTTTTTGAGGAAAAAAATTTCTCTCTCTTCCGAGATTTCCTTGGATAACATTGGATTCTCTTCACAATAATGGTTGCCAAAATATATATAGCTTCACATGTGGACAAGAAATAAGGAAAAATAAAATAATACAAATGATATTTTAATGTGTTGTATTTTTATTAATAGTAGTCAAATTGGGTATCACCATATTTATAGGCAAAGAATGGGGTATAGAAAATGTAAATTATTGATACATATTGAGAAGTGTGATATAAATAATGTTTGAATTTATCTATATTGGAAAGTGTGATATAGATAAAATTGAATTAAATATATACAAAAATTATTTAATAATTAAATGAAAAAAAAATAAAAAAAAATAAAAGGCACCCAATAGTGTCGTTCAATGCAATGAACGGATAAAGGGGCCCGCCCCTTAATGGATGTCCGCATCCTGGTTAATGGCCATCTGCCATTTAAACGGGGCAAATTAACGCCCCGGATGCCCTAATGGATAATAATTTTCTAGATGAATTTATTAAGATTATATGTTTTAATGATTCTAGTGTTATGTTTCACATTTTATGTAGACACGTTTTACAATGTTTTTCAAAAGTTAATTTTTATAAAACATTTTCAAAAAATTAACATATTATATCACATATCGACCTCATATTTTTAATTTATAAATATTATTTATTAATACATCAGAGTATCAACTTCTTCGTACACATTCATTTTCGTATTTATCTAAATATCTTTAGTTTATTTATCTTAATATCATCTAGTTTATGGTATATAATATTTTCAAATTATGTCATCGGTGAAAATAAAATTAGACCAATTAATGATGTTGAATCCAACATAGAAATAATATACGACTTTACACTTTTCAAAATATGTTTGCCATTTTGTATCTCGTACCCAAATTACAAATTTTAATGCGAATCTTAAATATCTCATATTTATTAAATATATATTTTATTAAATAACATGACGATCCATATAATTAATTTTATCATATATCATATATTAAATGTTATTGATTTGTGATGAAGATCGTGTATCGAGACTCGCTTTTGTGTAAGAATCTGCACTAATGGCCTTGGTTGGAACACGATAAAATGTGTAAACCCGCATTGACGGCCTCAATTTACACATTAATAAGTGAAAACCCCGCACTATCGGCCTTGATTTTTCACGAAGAAATGACTCGGATACGAGCTTCTTTCTTTATTTTTATTACTTTAAACTTTCCTTTTTTACAATCATGAATACATGCATTTTTATAGCCTAAATCTAAACATTCAAATATTCAAATTGTAACTAACATATAACTAACCATTCAAATATTAAATCATAAAACTAACCTACTAATCCTATCTAAATACTTTGCATGCATAATTAAAATTAACTACTCCCGCTCATATATTTCATTGAGCCAAATGCTCGGTTTGCATCAATTTGGTTGGACACTTATTCTATTCAGATAAATAGTATATTATTTTTTATATTTTATACTTCTCACAATAATAAGAAATTAAATATAAATATTTATATTTAAAATAAAGTTTTAAAATAATAATAATAATAACCATCCCCCGGCGTGCTATTTCATATACATGCACCCCTTATATTCGAAGCGACAGAATAGTCAATATCTTCTTACAAGTTTGATTGTGGTCATTCTTAGTTCTTTCACTCGCTCATAGATATTGGTAGAATCTGAAGTCGAGGTATGAACATTATACTGTGAATTTGCTAAAATCTACTATCTTCTTTAAGAGATCTATAAAAATTATTACTGGCAAAACGACTTGGACCCGGCCTGACTCAGAGCGTTTGGGACGAGTTTGGCCTGCCCTGTTAGTAGAACGGATCAGGACGGGTCCGGCCCGTTAGAAAAACGGGCCAGGTCTGGGTCCTATCTATTGCCCTGGCCCGACTTGCCCGGTCAAACCTGGCCCGGATGTTTTGTATATTTATTTTTTTATATGTATAATATATAAAGTAATTAGGGTTCAGATTTCATCATTTCATACCTTACGGTCCTTACCCTTGGCACCCCGCCTCTCTTCTCATCTTCTGCAGACTGCAATCGTGCGCCACTCTCGTCTCGCTCAGTCAGGCACCAACCACCAGTCGACAGCCACCGTCGGACCGTCTGTTTAGTAAAATCGCGTCGCCTCTGGCCTCTCCCAGTCTCCCTCTTTGCGATTGCGCCTCCCCGTCTTTGAAACACAACCTCTGACTTCTCGCAGCCTCCGACGCCTCGCTGCTTTCGAGTTCTGACGCCTGGCCGCCTCAACGCCCCGCCGACTCGACGCACTCCACTGCAGATTTGATGTAATTAGTAATTGCTACATTTTTTAAAAAAATTAAAGATTGTTGCTATATATTTGAAATTGATGGGGTTTTATCTTTGAAACACATGCTAATTATATATGCTTTGTGTGTAAGTTAGAATTAGGTTTATGAATTACGATCTTATGAGAAATGCTGTATTGATTGTGAATTGATGTTGAATTCATTTTTAAAATCATGCTTCTGTTGTTTTCTTTTTTGCTGAATTCATTGTGAAATTATATTAGGCAACCAGGTCCATCATGTACAACCCATTGTAGGCAATTTGTAGGAAAAAATAAAGCGCGGGGCAGGTCGGGCGCGGGGCAGGTCTGGGTACATTGAATTAGGGTTCGAGTTCCTATTTGGTATGCTGATTTTTGAGGCTATAATAAATTACCAGTTTTCCTGTCCCTCCCCGCCATAAGTGTGCATTTTTTTTTTATTTGGTAAAAAGATTCTGAACGCCCTGGTAGTTATCCTTGTCCCAATCAGAGTCCATACTTTGCTTAATGATTAAGATTTTGTGTTTTAATGATTCTATGTTGAAGTGTTATGTTTCACATTTTATAATATATACTACTTAATTAAAGAAGTCCATTCTCCACAAGGTCTTGTTGGTTGAAATGCCTAAAAGCTTCTGTAGTCTGGAGTAAATTTTCAATTAATTTGTTACAGTGCAGCTTTCAGCGACATACCTGACTAAAGCAACAAAAATAATGGCAAGGTCTTTGTCTAGCATTCTTGTTAAAAGGATTGCTGCCTTTCCAGCTGCTAATTTGACTGTAAGTTTATTTCTTCTTTGTGCTCGGTACGTTGTAGGTTTGTGCAAATGTCTAGAACTTATGCACTCTTTCCATCTGTTAGTTGGCGTAGATATTGTCTTAACGTTATGCAATTTCCTTATCTTATGGAAACAATTGCCAAACTATATTCACAGATATACACACATAAATGTATGCTTATTCGTGTTATTAGAAAAAGTTAATACAATCAAGAGTTGTGTTAGATCTGTCATTCGACGATATATGTTATTTCTTATGCCATATCCGCGTACCAAATATTTATGGCTATCCTGACCCCTGAGCCTAGTGCAACAACCAGAGCAATATAACAAACTTAAGTTCTGCTTTGGATTTTTAAAATTGATTGTAGATTAAAAAAAATTGTGGCTATAAATTGTTGAAGTATCAGTTAATGGTGTAAGAATAAGAGCTGCTGTGTTGGTGAGTGATCATATTTTTTTGGCTACCTTCTATCGTCTGTTTCACCTCTGAGCTGCCATCTCATGATGGGACTATTATATTTGCGAACCATCGATGAATTCATCGGATTAACCATCCAAAGTTAACTTCCTTCATTATGTATTGAACAGCTGCATAACAAATTCATTTGCTCAAGGAATATTAATATTGCCTTATCTTGTGGTTACTGGCCTTTTCACATGGCCACATCCTGGTCATCTGTAAATAGATACATCTTCTACTAGTGATAAGCAACTGAACATAAATGTGTTGTACAATAAGTCAATAGTATATTCTAGTGTGTGTGCGAGCGTGTTTTATGGTAGAGAGACAAGCAACTATCAATACATAGTCCTCTTATATGATATTATGCACATAATTCTAGAATGTATGTCTGTTATTCATTCGATGTGTGATTATGTGCGCAGGCATCTGGATCTTTCTACCGGGGCATGCTTCGTTTCTCGACAATTGTGCCTGATGACCCCGATACACATTAAGATTTTAGACCCTCCAATAAAGTTCAAGAATCTGCCTCCTCCTTGAATGAAATTGTTGAGAAGGTAAAATCGTTCGTCAGAAAAAGTTCAGCAACACGTCGGTTTGACAAAACTGCGGCGTAGCTCTGAAATTTTATATTTAATCGCCCAAGATTGTACTTTTTATCACGTTTTGCTCAAGTCTACTCATTGTGAATATATCAGCCTGATGTGTGTCACTGAATTTAATTGTACTTGCAGGATGTGAAAGAAAACCCTGTGATGATATACATGAAAGGGGTACCAGAACATCCTCAATGTGGTTTTAGTGCACTAGCAGTGAGGGTCTTGCAAGAATATAGTTAGTTTTGCTGAACACTTTTCAATCATATTACGTTACTCATTTCTTTTTAATATTGTTGCATAATATCATGTTTACAAAATTATGAAGTTGCTGAGAATGTTTGGGACTAGAGATAATTTGACATGGCATAAGTAAGAGATAGAGATTGATTTGATGTGTTTTTGGACTGGATCTAATTTTGACCTTGTACTCGACATGGTTTCTTGCATGACGTGGTCAAGATATTGTAGATTATGCTTGGTATTCACTAGCTTGCGATTCCTGCAAATTTTTTTTTTTTTTTACTTACATGATTTTAAAAGTTCATTTGTTCTTTCAGATGTTCCTATAAGTGCGAGAAATATACTAACAAACCTTGAGCTAAAGAATGCTGTTAAAGCCCACAGGTAAGTTATCCATTTAGCAAACTTTTCTTTCTCTTTCTTTTTTTTTTCTCCTACAATAAATGATGAGTAGTCGCAAATATGTATGTGATAATATGAACATTCGTGGGCAAGAGAGAGAATGCATAAAAAAGAAACTATTAGGAGTCTACTTCTACTGGAGTTGCACATAATGTTTGTTTACAGATTTAAGGGGTTACAAATTACGTGTTTTATCTTTACAGTACTCATCCTCTGGTTTGTGCCGGGTACTTCTCATTTACCGACTTGCATTTGATAGGAAATGGCATGGAGTGATTGATTCAGTCGCATAAATGCGGCTCAATTTTGCACAAAATTCTTAAATTTAATTTTGGAAGAATGAGAGAATTTATTTTCAGTTTGAATTGGATATCAAAATTTAGACCCGATGCACCCACGAAAGAATTATGCGAGTTTGCTCTAGTAAACAATTTTATCTGGAAATTAGAATGTAAGATGGGAACTATTTTGCCCCCGTTAATAACACATTGTCGATATTTTTGCAGCCTTTGGCCAACATTCCCTCAAATATTTATCAAAGGGGAGTTTGTGGGAGGATCTGATATCATTCTTAACATGCATCAGGTTTCGCCATTATTTCCTTCTGTCATGCCAAAACACGCTTTTACACTAATAATAATTAGTGAAGATGTTCTTTTCGCCTTCATTTGTAATAAGCTCTGAAATATGTGGTTGCTGTGCAGACAGGTGAGTTGAAAGAGAAGCTGAAAGATGTTGGCAAACAACAAAAGTCGGACTCGGAGTAAGTCGTATGCTGAAAGAGAGTGAATAAATAAGCCCTGTTTTATTTTATTTTCTGCTGCCTTTCATGTATTGTCGAAATAATTAAGTGGCGTAGATTCTCTTTCTTTTCAAAATTTCCTCACCAATTTTTTCGTTTTACTGGGTACTGTAGTGACCGTGGTGTATGAATAAATTGGCCATTTCGAGTGTTTTTTAAGGTTGGATCACTCTGTGGAATACTTTCTGGTGGATTTTATAATTTTGCCGATATAAGACCATCTTTATCCACAATCCATCTCAACTTAACTCAATCCAACTTAATAATTAAAAATCATCTCTCTTTCACCTAGAAAACTCAACATTTTAATTAAAATTATCTTTATTTTCAACTTAAGTCAACTTAAAATTATATTTTTTTTATTTATGAATTGCAATTATGTTCTAAAACATATCAAATTTGGTCGTTATATATAGAGAATGAAAAAATACGAATGAAAAAAATAAGAAGTTTAGTATTTTTATTATCTATTAACACAATCCAATCGTGATCTTCCCAAGCGGCAAATCGGTCGCTATCTTCTTTTTTTCGTTTGTCGTTATCTCCGTGACCCAAGAGATAAATCTATACTTATATAATAAGAATTAACATTTATCCAAAATAATAGGTCAACTTATGGTCAATGTCGGATTTGTATTAAATATTTTCCAAAATCGGTAAGTTTTTGTCTTTTTCACACTTCTCATTAATTATGTCTTTTTCACACATCTAATTAAATCATTTCATATGAGCTTTTATCGTTAAAATGTATAGCGATCTGTTATGACCTTATCCTATTGATATTTCCATGAAGCGTCCTTATCGCATTCTATATTTTGGTAACCACTCTATATCAATAACCGAATATTTGGTTAATGATAGCACACGTCTTTATTTCAAGGAGCAGATATTCTTTGACCTTTAATTAATCTGAACTGATTGACATGACTTTTCAATTTTTAAAAACTCTTTTTTTAAAAACTCTTTTTTTTATCGCACGTTGGTCTTTTCCCGAATAAACCCGTTTTTTGTCACGGCCAATTATATGTTGCTGCTTCGCGTGTAAATAATAGAAGGGGGTTGAAAATATTAGTTTGTGATAATGAGGAGTTACCAAATAATCAAACTCATAATGTTGTGTACAAGGAAGTTTTTAATAATTTATGATTGTTACCGAACATTTTATGATTCAACAATGTTCCTATGTATTTTAATGATTTCAATTTCGATCCTAATGACGTGAGATTATATTATTCTTCCACATTTTACATCGGTTACGCACTAGTATGGTCTAATAGGAGATGAAACATATAGGCCTCATTTGTTTGGAATGACGAAATTACACTAAACTAATCTAAGGTGAATGGATTGTACCGTGTAGATAAGTTTAAACTCGTATTTGTTATATGTGATTGATATTTCAAATAGGATAATAGTAAACTCGAGACACCATTTGCTATCCATGATAAGTTTAGGGATAAAATGTATTAAGTCTCTTTTACCCTTGTTTCCACATTTGCAATTGGATTTTTTCTTCCCAGTTCATTTGTGTACATAACAAAATTGAATAAAAATAATAATCTGCAACATAAACAAATAATAATAATAAAGCAAAAAAAAATAGATTTTTTTTCCCTAGTTCATCAATCTGTTAAATAAAAGATCATCTGCAATACTAAAAGAAAAACGATAAAAAAGAAAAGAAAAGAAAAAAAAAAAGATGAGACCAAATTGAATAAAACATTATCTGAAACAACAAGATTGAGGATTCGAAAAGCTGAGGATATCATCCGTCCCCACCACCGCCCTGTTAGGCTCAGATGCGCAAATGCGGAAGGTGTAAATTAAAAATTCCACTATGAAATGGTGAATAAAAATAATAATCCCAGCAACTCAAGAATAACAAAAGAAATCTCTTGCAATCAAACAGGAATAATTCTTTTATGATGTGGAAGATCAGATTAAACTGCGACCACAGAGCATACTAAGAATATCCCAAATAAATAATATATGCAAGAAAGAAGACACCAAGATTTAACGTGGAAAAACCTCCAATTAGAGGAAAAAACCACGGGACAACCTCCGAACAATTCCACTATATTTTCAAGATAATTACAATATCTTTTCACACTCCCCTGCACTAGAAATGTAAAATATAGTGAC